ACCCGAGACCCGAGATCCGAGACCCGAGACCCGAGACCCCGAGACCCGAGACCCGACACCCGAGACCCGAGACCCGAGACCCGAGATCCGAGACCCGAGACCCGAGACCCGAGACCCCGAGACCCGAGACCCCGAGACCCGAGACCCCCCGAGACCCGAGACCCGAGACCCGAGACCCGAGATCCGAGACCCGAGACCCGAGACCCCGAGACCCGAGACCCGACACCCGAGACCCGAGACCCGAGACCCGAGATCCGAGACCCGAGACCCGAGACCCGAGACCCCGAGACCCGAGACCCGAGACCCGAGACCCGAGACCCGAGATCCGAGACCCGAGACCCGAGGCCCGAGACCCGAGACCCGAGAAGTGTCGGGGAGCCGCGGGCCCATTGTCAAGTTCGATCTCGAAAATTCACCCATCTTAGAGAAAAAAGAAGAAAAAACACACCAACTTTCTGCCCCTGTGATCATCTTGTGAGGTACGGAGCACGCCTGCATTAAAAAGCGACGCGCGGCGTGTACTTCATGGGCACGTAGTTCAGATTCTCATAGAGGCAGTTGGCGGCGCCCTGCTCATCTTCTACCTTGGCCCCATGCGTCAAATGGTCCGTTGTGGACACTGGAAACCACAAAAAGGGGTACCCAAATCAGCTCACCAAAAAGTGGCACTGATCGCAACCATTTGAAAAACCATGTTGCGCATGGCAAATACGTGAATACCTGTTTTTTCACTCAGGGCTTGACATCGTACCTTAAAGGAGGTGGGTGGAACTCCTCCTCCTCCTCCTCCTCCTCCTCCTCCTCCTCCTCCTCCTCCTCCTCTCACCTCCCACCTCCCACCTCCCACCTCCCACCTCACACCTCCCACCTCCCACCTCCCTCTCTGCTCCAGGCGCGTGGAGGTAGATCTCCTCATCCCCCCAGACGTCGCGCACCAGGCGCTCCAGCACCGCCATCAGCTTCCGCGCCAAACCCCTCCGCCGCCAGGAAGGCTCCACGCACAGATTCAGCACCTGAGACGTGGCAGGTGGCTTTGTGTGGTTTGAAGGGAGACTTATACGGGTTTTTTGTTTTGATATCAATTAAGGAAAAGTTATTGTATATTTATATATATATATACATGTTGGAGGTCCGCTATGTTTGAAACATTGTGTTGACACATCGAAGAATCTGCCAAAACATGGCGGACACCCTTTTGGCGTGTATTTAAATTAAAGGGAACCGAAGGGAAAACCAACCATGTTACGGGCCAGTACTTCGAGAAACCCCCACATGGGTCTGTCTCGCAATAGGGATTTGGACCGGAACCCAAAACTTGCTTCGGCTTTAGGTTCGGTTCTCCTTGCCAACCGCTTGGCTCCCAATTCCCGGGTGGTGCTGCAGTCACCACTAAAGAACCACTTAGAAGAAGAAAAAAAAGACAGCGACCCGACTCGACTCTTTCTTCAGAAAGCTTCCCAAGCCGGCGTTCAACCAACAAAAACGACCCACCACAATCACTTCTTTTTTTGGAGGGTCATCTCAAAAATTACTCCACCAAACCACTCTCTCTCTCTCTCTCTCTCTCTCTCTGTTTTTCACCGCTTCTTTGTGAAGATCGTCCCAAAATAAAAGAAAACACCACCAAGCCATCTCTCTCTTTCTCTCTCTGGTTTTTCGGGGGAGGGCGGGGTGACTCCCAGCCGCTTGCCGGGGGCGCGTAGGGCGCGGAGGCCACCCCAGGTTTGCTCCTGGCCCCCGGCGCGCGCACCCGGCCGTCGCTGGGCCACAGCGAGAGGTCCACCAGCGCCACAAAGGCCGGGCGCTCCGCGGCGCCCGCCTGCGGCGCTGCAACCGGTGCAAAAGAAGGGCCCAGAAGGCAGCGCAGAGCACGAACACCACCCCATTTTGAAACCCCATTTGGGGACACTGGGTGAAAGTAAGCACAGCTGGAGGGTAGATGACAAATGTCCGAGCCATGGTGTAGTCCCCTTTGCTTGCCCAGGAATTTGCGCTATCTACTTTCAACCTGGAACAAGGAGACCACCACTACATGCCCTGGTCTATTTTCTGTGAATTCGCATGGGTTTCCGCTCACATGGATTCTGAGCAATACTGGACTAATCCTAAACCAACTCTAAACCAGCACTTAAGCGATGCTCTTTCCCACGCGTAAGTTGTGCCCAGGTCGTACCCAATCCACCAGTTAGAGACCCAAATCATTGAAAACGCCAGGCGTCCTTTTTGTCTTTCTCTTTGAGCCAAAGTAAAACCATTGGAATCCATCTACTTTCAACCAAACGGACCAGAAAAAAGACAGCTGCGGACGCACAAAATCATGCACTAGTTGGGATGGGTTTTCCGATGCTGGGATAGACCACCTACCAACTGGTGCCTGCGTGGATTTGGTCCATCCACGTGGTCAAAATCGTTGGAATCAATCCATGTTCAACCAAGCTGACCAGAATGGGGACCTACGGTCCAACAGGTCTCACTATATTTCCTAAAAGCATCAATCCTACCACAGGAAACTCACTTTTAGTGGCTCCAAAAGGTGATGTTGAAAACCATCCCTGGGGGCATAATATAAGAATCGACCCCTGGTATGGGTCAAAACAAGATAATTACCTGTTTGAGTCTTTGAGGGATACTATTTTTTGTGTGGTTTATTCCTGAAAAGGGAAATTCTCAATTTTGAGGGGGGGGCTATTCAAAAACACCAGAAAGAACACCTATTTTGGCTGGTTGGCTTTCTAAAGGGCCCCTCCCCCCCCCCCCAAATAACAAAGCGCTCGCAAGCCGCAGGTCCCTCACCTCCAGCGCCAGCACCAGGCCCAGCTCCGGCACCTCCACCGAGCCCCGCGGACGCGGCCGTGTCAGCCGCGGGCGCGGGTTGGCGGCGTCCAGGCCCACCAAACTCCGCAAGGCGCCCAGCCGCCCCGCGATGCCCTTCCTGCCGGCTGAGAAGAGAAAGGATGGACTCATCTTCGGACAGTGCGCTCTCCATTTTCAGTTGCCATCTTTGGTTGGTGTGCACCATAAGGCTTGAGGTCAGTTTCAGGGCTTGGCAATTGGAGCCATGGATCCTGCAAACGGCTTAGTTTTCGCCATTGATCATTGCACCAGCTTAGTTGGCATGGATCATGGCAAACAAGAGGTTTGAATAACATCCATTCGGGTGTTTTTTCAGGGGACCCCCAAAATGGTGGCTTTCCTTTTGGTCCCCTTTCAAAACAACCAACAAAAGAAGACAGGTACCCTCAAAACTGGTACCCCTCAAACCCATTTTCATGGACCGCCTACCCCCCCAAGACACCCGGCCGAGGTCCCGCCTCACGCTCTCCGCCTCCGCGGCATCCTCGAGGTTCACCTCGAAGACCGGGGCCACGATGGCCATGGCGCGGTCCAGGTCCCCCAAATCCGCCGCCACCACCCGAAAGCCCTCCACCTCCCGCGCGAGAAGCGCGCCAGGAGTTGAAGAAACCCACGGCTTTCCGCTGGTTGAAAAGAAAAGAAGAGGAGAAAACACGGCAGGGCAAGTGGGGTGAGCAAGTTCCTGGTTCGAACTTCAATGTGTTCTTTTCGGAAGCAAAAAGCTACAAATTACCAGAAGGGAACCCCAAAACGGGGTCCTCGCCAGAAGATTTCTGTCCAGGGTTTTGGGGAGTTCGGTCTCAGACATGTTCCGTTTGCGAGTTTCAATCCTGTTGTGTAGTGTTGACATGCCGGCCAGGCTTTTGCAAAGCCATTTGCCAAGCTCAAGGCCCACCCTGCCTCAAGCTCCGGCCAAGCAAAGTTCGGCCCCAGCAGCTCCGCCAAAGGCACCGCCCGCAGGCCTCCTCGCAGGCTGCGCCGGCTGAACCGCCGAAGGCCGGCCGCCAACGCCGCCAGCGGCGCCGCCCAACGCGGCGCCGCCCAACGCGGCCCCCGACGCGGCGGGGCGCCGCTTTGGGCGCGCCCGGCGTTGAGCGGAGCGCGCGGCAGCGAAGGGTCAAAGCGTGGCAGCGAACATGGCGCCAGCATGGCGGAAGGGCCAGTGAATAGATGGAAATGGGTAGGGGTGGGGCTGTGGATTCTGTGTCTGGAGGCATACATAGCAATGCCACAATGCCAAGAGTCATGCAAAGAGTCATGAAGAATGGAGAACGTGCAGAAGTCTAAGCTTGCGCTGCAAATATGATGTTTTCAGCTTACATAAAGTTCTAAAGCCGGACTCCCAATGGCCAGAAGCTCCGGCGGCATCGCTCACATGCACATGAGAGACAAATGTGACCCCTGATGTCTACCACTCCCAGTGGTTCATCAGGGGTCTCGTCCTTTTCCCACAGACTCCCTTGAGTAGGCAGGGGTCACGATCACCCTACGCGAATGTCAATTCCCTGCACAGGTGGTAGACCAAGCCACCTAAGGTGCAACTTCTGGGAGAGTTTACTTTATTTGTGGTTCAAATTTAGAGTCCCCCCTTCTTGTCTTGATGGAATGTTTGACCGAGCCTTAGGTTGTAACCAACCATACCTGGAAAACCACCACCTGCTTTGTCCTCTACGCCAACCAAGGGGGGTTGCGCGTCAAAGAAGTGAAGCAGTAGCTGGGCACGTTTGGCATTTGGTGGTAAGCTGAAAAAAACCCTGAAGAGGGGGCAATTGTTGGCCTTTGGCCAGCCCCACCTACAGGTTCCTCGTGTGTCCCGGTAAACCAGGGTGATGCTTAAGCTGGCCGAAATGCTGGGTCGACCCAAATCATCGTGCAAATTACGTCCAAAGAGTCCGTAGTTTAAGAGGCACGTTTAATCGGCTGTGCAATTCTGAGCTTTTTGGAAGAGCAAAAGATCGCCTTCAATCCCAACCAAAAGTAACGACTCATTTGGCCGTGGGTCAAAACCAATGGTACCATTTTGGGGTAGGTGAATTCACCACCCATTTTAGAACCTATTTTAGTGGTTGGATTGAATCGGATGTTCTCTGGGGGCTAACCGATTTGGATTTCGACCCATGGCCATTTCGAAACCGCCCTGCCAGTACCTCCTGGGTGAAGGCGGACTTCCGGGGGTCCGGGAAGGAGATGGTCTGCGCCTGGCGGGCGCAAAAGACACGCCGCATGGCGCATGCCTGGTTTAGCGCAGTTGATTTGTTCAGAGTCTGCAAAACATGACTCGGGGTCCAAAGCCAAGTTCTGCAATGCGTTGTCAACTGCTTTTAGTCCATGACCTTGCGGTCTCCATAGGAAGAATCAAGCATGTACTTGATTGTTGCAAGTCCCAGAAAATGGTATCTGTGTGAATATGAGAATTTACAGACCCAAAATAAGGGAAAGCAAACCCCTAAGAACCGTCATCCTTGGGCCCTGAGTCCACCCAAAAATCGCCGTGACGAAATTGCACCACTGTTCTACAAAACTGGCGTGAAAAATGTTTGGCTAGTTTCTAGGTCTCCCTTTACACGCCATTCCGAACAAGAGTCCCCAATTTCAGGGAGGCACACTCAACGCCCAGACCCCCACCCAAGCTTCGCAGCCACCTTTTTTCTCGCATCTCGCGTCGCAGTGCGTCCGACAAAGAAGGCTACGAGTCACTACGAAGGCCCGTGCAGCGAGCCTTCGGAGGATTTGCTGTGGGCCCACAAGGTTGTCTTGCTGGTGCGAGAGGTAGGGAATGTGGGAATGAACCCGTCCCCTTGCAGGAAACCACAAGGAATGGATTTTTCGGGTCATTCCATTTCTCATTCCCTGCTGAGAACCAGCAACCTCTCCCAGCCCAAAAAAACCGTGCCCGAAAGCCTTGAGTGCCATGGTCCAAACTCCTTCCGCAGGTGGTGATAGGTCCTCTTTGGCAGAAGCCTTGAGAATCTGTCTGGAGGCCTACTCTAACGCCCCCGAGACCCTCAAAATATCGAGGTCTGTCGAAGGCCCTCAAAATATTGGGAGACTCCAGGACTAGGGGTTGAGAATAGGTACACACATCTGCACCAGTCGCAAGGCCCAAATTGAGGCTTGGCGTCAACCCACACCACACATTGATGCGCGCCGGCCTTCCCAAGCGGAAGATCGAACCTTAACCCGTTGCAAGCTCTCCAGAGCTGTCGGAAATGACCATTTCTGTGATACCAAAAAAAGGGCCTCAAAAAGACTAAACCCCCATCACAAGAGGGGCTTGTATTGCAGAAGGGGGGACAAGTTGCTTGGTGCCACAAGCCTCATCCCCTCCGACGCCACGTCTCCCACCTACCGCGAGGCGCTGCGTCGCCGGCTCCGCTCGCCCTCGCCCTTCGCGGCGAGCGCCCCGGCGCTGTGGGCGCGGCGGTGCGCCGGGACTGGCAGCGCCTCCGTCCGGACAGCGGACGGCTCTGAGCGGAAAGCGGGGGACGGGGGGAGTGGGTCACCGGGCCGAAGAACCCAAGTGGCTCACTACTCCAAGAAACAAACCTTGAGGAACAAGCCCAGCTGGCGTCATCAACTACCCTGCCGTGTTGAAAAGGAAACTGAAGGTTGGCATGCTTCTTTGTCGAAAGGAAACGTGTGTTACATGTAAAGGAAACCCAGCCAAAAAGAGGGGTTGTTTGGCACATGCCCTCTTTTGCTCCAGAAGCGCAGTGGCTGATGGTGAAGTTGTATCTCGGTGGATAAAAACACACAATACTGATCATTGAGAAAAACTTGAGGGGAAGTGATTTGCTTTGACTTCGGCACAGCCTGGAATGTCGAACCCGTCAAAAGACATGCAGAGGAGTAGCCCTGTTTGGTGGGGGCTGCGCACACCTTTCGTTCAGCAACTTGCCCTATTTGTTTGAAGAAAATCAAAGGGTGTGGCACTTAAACTGGGAACGTGTCAAAATAGAGTGCACTCACAAAAAAGATCTGGTTTTCCTGCAGGTGCCCATTTGAACACAGCCACCTAAACATCACCCAACTTTGGAAAAGCCCCCCTGCCCATCTGCCCCCCACCCAGCCCACCCAGCCCAGCACCCCCTCCCCAACCGCCGCGCCGGCGCTGCCACCACCCGCTGGCGCCGCTGCGCGGCCCGCAGGCGCCGGAACTCCTCGAGCCTCGCCTGCTGCTGCCGGGCCTCCTGCAAGTCGATCTCGGGCGCCGTGCTTTGCTTTCATCGCCGGATAGATTTTGTAGAAAGGGGTAGGCTGGGGGCTGAAATGTTGTTTTTTGCTTTTTGCTGCCCTTCTGTATTTATGTCATTTACCACCCTTCAATTTAGTCGAATATATGGATCAAACAAATAGACGGACCAGAGACTCGCGGTTTTCCTTGGCTCAAGAAACACGAGTCAACACCCATCAGGGCCTGGAAGAGAAGGAGAACTGGAGCTTACCCTCCCATTTACTTGTTTGCTCGTTGGTCGCTGGGCTCCCCAACCCACACCCGACAGCTTCGAATGGGGTCTGGAAAAATCGGTGGTCTCCTGAAATGTCTGGACCCATGGTTCGGGTTACACTGAATGGGTCTTCGACTTTCGGGTTCTGGGGATGGGTTCAGGGATGGGCAGGTTTTGGAAGGTTTTGGGGCTGATCCATAAGGACCTCCCAAAACATGCAGTGGGGGGATAGTTGATATTGAGGTTGAGTCCGGGTCAATTCTGTTCAAAACATCTGCCGTTGCCGCAGGCTTTTTGTGGTTTCCCCAAGCAAAACAAAGGGTTTGGCTTGAGATGGGTGTTGGATATATATTTGGGTGGGTTTGGGGGACGGTTGAGGATAGGTTTACGGTCTGTTCACGGTGGGTTGGAGTTTGAACCTGTTATCAAGCATACATTACGTTGGTTCTCGCCCTTTGATTAAGCATTCAAATGCAAAATGATAACCCGGTCCTGAACCTGGTTGTTTCCATGTTCGCCTAAGGAAGGGTTGGGGGAGTTTGACGCTATCAAATATTCATGCTATGGGTTGTTTCACTGGTTCAGAAACCATTAAAATGCTGCATGCATCCCAACTCTTCCCCAGGGATAGGTTTTGATGTTGAAAAGCTGAAACAGAAATCAAGGTCCTCCTAACCCAACAGAAGCCGACTTCAGCGATAAGAAATCCTACGGGGCATCAGGAGATCCAGCTGATAAATCGTGAAATCCCTCCATTGCGACCTTTGTGTTCCGAGCGGAGCAGCAACTTCCGACAAATGGCTGTGGCGGTCAAAAATAATAATAGGGTAACCCCGAAATGGCTTGCCACTGGTAAGTGGCAACATGGGCCAAGACCTGTGGTCCATATCCTGTTGGTTTACTTTTGACCCACACCCACATATCAGAACCCAAAGCACCGCCGAGACGGGAAGGAGGTCCCCTGGCCAACCATCGTGGCCCCTCCAAAACACACAGGCCGAAGCGGGGAAGGCTTTGCTGGAAAGACGTCCGGGGTCTTCGAATCTCCTGAGATTCAATGCATCACCAAGTCAGCCCAGATTCATCAACCTGGAAAAAAAAAGAGGGCTTCCCAACAGTCGAAGGCTTCCCTCCAAAACTCCAAAATGGGACATTTCGGACTATCAACATCAAACCCATCTGAATCAACCGAGTTCCTATCAGGCCCCATAGCCTAATCACTCCCAGAGATATAATATAGATTCCAATGTGTGTCAAAATGAAGCCCAAAATGGACGTAATCAACCGAGTGCCTCTTAGGCTGCACAGGCCAATCGTAGATTACGATGTGTGTCAAGATGAAAAGCCCCAAACGGGATCTCGGCTTTTCCCTTGGGTTCCCCAACCCCACCCAAATCGTAGCTACGGAGCCCCGCCACTCTGACCGCTTCGCACCTCCTCTGCGGCCGCCAGGAATGCCGCCGGGCTGGCGGGCGCTGGCGCCTCACACGTCTGACGTGGGTTGGCAAAGCTCCACCACCAATTAGCAGAGGTCCCTTTCAAAGGAATATGATCAAAACCCAGACCCCCCCAAATTTCAGGCTCCATGTTAATTGGGAGAGTAAGGGGCTAAATGGGAGGTTTTTTAGTGGGACCCTGTGGGGTCCACTAGCCTCCCTTTAACAGACCAAAAAAATGTACCCTTAAAAAAAGACAGACACATACCATTGGAAGAGGGGTTTGGTGGGCACCATAAAACCAAATTCACGCTGTAGGGAGCTGCCCATTTTACCCTTTGTCTCGATACGCAGGGAATGAGTTGGCATGACCCCGAACTGAAGGGCCTTCAAATTTCCCGCTGAGCGCCGGTAAGTTTGGGGGAGGGGGTGCTGGGGAACCACCCATGTTACATGGGTGGTTTACCCCTTACCTAATGGCTGTCTCTGTGTGTGTGTGTGTGTGTGTTGGTGTTTGTGTGTTTGCGCTTGTTGTTGTCTTTGTGGTTGTGCATGTTTCTTAAGGATCCTTACCTTGGTTGCAAGAGAAACCAAAGGAAGCAACACCTTTGTTTGTCGCTTTCAAAAACAAATACGCATGTTGCACATCAAAAGTCAACCCTAAACTCGCAAGCCAATTCTGAAGCAGGAACCTCCCCCCCAAAATATATTTACTTAAAAAAAAGGAAAACAAACTTTAAAATTGGATAAAACAGTTCCAACCAATTTCCAGTATCTGATCTTCAGAAAGGTAAGGCCCCTTCTTGCTACAGGCCACCCCAGGCTTGCGCGATCCGTTGAATGCAACCACAGGACGCTAGTCCTTCAAATGAAACCATCCAACAGGCCCCATGACCCTGGCACTATAGAAACTTGGCCCCTGGTAAGCTGAAACCAAACGTGAAAAACACGTTTTTGTTTTTCCACGATGGATCGGGTTTCATCTCTCCCAACTGCTGCCTGGCGTGGACTTTGTCACCATCGCAGCTCCAAGGGCAAATCCGCCTGGACCTATTTTTGGTTCACCCCCAATCTGTTTGTTTGGGCCCGTAAACCAAGAAGGCAAAACCACAAGGGATCGGCTCGGTTGGAGCAAAAAGACCTCAGCCTTCATTCACCAACCTGCCTCAACCCAGCGCCAATGGCTCCAAATGGCTATGCTTTTCCGGCAGTGGCTCCAATGGTTTCAACGGCTCTGGCAATACCTCTAGATCCAATGGCCAGCCCACCTCCCCTGGCGCCTCGGGGGGTTGGACCTTGGCCACCTGCGAGATG